AGAGAGAGAGAGAGAGAGAGAGAGAGAGAGAGAGAGAGAGAGAGAGAAAGAGAGAACATAACAAACCATCTTAATAAACAATCATGTTTTGGATTATTCTAACAAACAAATAAAGATGTAGCTTAGGTTTATTTATTTGTTTATTGCTTCCTTTGTCTCATATATACTAACCTGCAGCCACTCTTTTATAAGACAACTAGAAAAATCATTTTTGCAACCTATTCAAAGGCTTTATTAATTTTCTAAGATCTAACGTTTAATACTCAAATCATTTAAAAATAAAATATTCTTTGTTCATCCAAAATTTCCTTTTTTCTTTTAACTATAAACTTTTTTAGCTTAGTTGTCTCAGATCTTCACTCAACAGCCACACTACGTAAGTTCCTAGCATGACCCTCACTGTCTTGGTGACATCTGGGACCCACAGCTTCGCAGTGTGGTTACGTAACACGGAACTTCTGTCCACATGATATGACCAGGTCATCAACAGGCAGCCACAGCTGTCAAACACAGCCGTCTTACGTGGGAGCCCAAGGTACAGGAATTATTTTAGAGGCAGCCAATTCATTGGGGAATATGCACGCCCTGAGCCCAGCTTTCGGAAACCCCCTCAACAGCATCCTGCAGCTATGGCTCTGAGCATCTGCACCATCAGTAAAGACAGACTGTCAAAATCCCAGTTAGTCCTGGGAAAGGCTGGTGAGTGAACCCTAGCCTCTCCAAGCACTAACTCTGGCTGGTCCCACCTAAGTGCAGTGGTGCTCCTGTGGAAAAGCTACGTCCCGCTCACTTCTTCCCACTCTTGAAAAGAAGGGCACATGTTTGGAGCACATCAAGTTAGAATACATCTTCTTCTACACAAGAACTTGCTTTTTTTTTTTTTTTTTTTTTTTTGTCTTTTGAAGATCAGCACATTAGGTATCTTCCTCATGAGCAGAGCAGGGACAGAGTCACACATGCACATTACATCATCTGCTCCCCACCCCCAAGGCATAGGAAAGCCTAACACTGCGATGGGGTGAGAAAGTGGCATCTCTGGGAGGCAGCTAGCTCACAAGGGAGGAGCCCTCAGGAATGGGATTGGCGCCTTTATAAAGAGGCCTCAAGAAAGCACCCCAATTCTCTCTGTGCCCCATGAGGAGGGCGTGTGGAAAAGTCAGCTGTCTGTAATCTGGGACAGGGCTCTCACCAATCTAGACATCAAGCTAGCAGACTGTCCGGTTGCAGGCCTCCAGCCCCACTGTGAGAAAACAAGTTTCATTTATTTACAAGACATCTAGTCTCTGGCAGTTTCTTATAGCAGTGTAACTAAGACAGACAGACAGAGACAGATGGGCAGACAGATACTCTTAAGGCTTCAATTCTTTAAAATGGAAAGAAAAATCTCAAACTTGAATGCTCACCTGTTGCTTTAAATCAATGGGTATGAATGTTCTTTGAGACTGAGCTATACAGCCTAGAAACAACCTCTGCCAGTCACAGTAAGACACTGTAACGTGGCACCATGACAAACCAGCATGGTGAAGACCAGTTACTGGAAGGGTGTGTCCCGTGAACTAGCCAAGGTGTTCATCTCATGCAGGATCCTTCCCAGATATGTAGTGACGTCTTTTCCCTCACCTTCAATCCTCAGGAAGCCTCAGGATGAGGTAGCCAAGGGCAGGCAGCCAACTTAACCAGCTACTTTCACCCTGCAATTTGTCTCCCAGACTAAGGCATTACCAGGCCATCCCTTTATCACAGACACAGTTGACCAGCAAAGGTCTTTGCAGATTTTAATGACCGATAAACACTGCTTAGCCTTGGACCACAATAGCATGCTACTGTATCAACCACAATAACAAGCTACTGAATCGACCACACAGACATTTAGTAAGAGAGCAGCAAGGCTCAAAGAGAAGCATCACCTGCCGACGTCACCGAATCAAAGCACCCACGACTAGCACACTGAACATGCATCTACAGGCCATCCTCCAGCCTAGTAATTACAGTGAGGGCCTGCCACGCCAGCCACAGGGAACCCAGCCATGTGCTAGCCAGCTTCCTGAAAGCCTTTTGTACTCATCTCAAAGCACTACGACTGGGCAGGGAAGGAGTTGCCATCCGTGACAGTCCACCTACATGTCTGAATATACCTACATGAACCAAATTATTTGTAATTAGCCCCTCACAGCTCATCTGCAGGGAAGTCACTGTATGCCTCGGGGACTGGAGATGGACAGAGTGACCAAATGTATTCATTTGCATACATTGACGGCTTAAGAGGAAGTAGGAAAAGAGACAGCAAAGCCAGGGTACAGAGACCTGGAACAGAAGGTAATCCCTATAGAGCCAACATCCCTAAAGCATCTTAAGCATAACAGAGCCACTGCCCCCATCTCCAGGGCAGGAACAGCTGCCATCCATCCAAAGTAACTGTCCAAGGGCAAGTGGGCGCTGTGGTCTGGCCGTTCTGAAAGGCTTCCTAGTGACTGCACTGTCTTCATCCTGGTCAGCAGTGACTCTGACCCTGGGAGAGTGAGGTAGAAGGCAGAAGCCAGAAGCCAGGTGTGGCCAGAGTATCTTGGTGGCTCTCTTAGAAAAACAAGGCAAGGTAGTGGGCACTGCCCAAGGAGTAGAAATACCTGGTCCAAGAGTTAGGATCAGACTGTGGTGTTCTAAAAGCTGACACTTGGGCCTTGGTCTGTGTCCTTGTGTAAGATGAGGAAGGTGCCTTACACCAACA